ACCAAACTGGATACAATTTAATATACCAAATAGATTACTTTTTTTTTTCTATATGTGATTTTTTTCTATGTATGTGATAAATCTGATAGATTTGACATAATAAAATACCAGATTGACATAGATAGATAGATAATGAAAAGATTGAGGTATATATATATATATATATATATATATATATATATATTATAATTATTTTTTTGAAAATTTTTAATAATTAAAAAATAATTATAATTTAGGCTCTACTTATGTATTCAGGACTGTTTTTTAAAAATAAAAAAAAAAATACTAAAGAACTTCGGATTACTTACCTAACGAGTTTTTTTGCACACACACACACACACATATATATATATATATATGTGTATATATATTTATATATATATATATATATATATATATATATATGTATATATATATATATATATATATATATATATATATATAGATAGATAGATAATGAAAATATTGAGCTATATATATACACACACACACACACACACATATATATATATATATATATAGAGAGAGAGAGAGAGATAAAAGGAGAGAAAGACAGGCAGAAATAGATAGAAAGATAAAAAATTTATATTGTTATTTACCACCAGTGCTACTTGACTTAGCAAGGTACAATGTGGAGTATAAATATTAGGCAGTGAAAATAAAACCGTAATCAAGTTACGTGATTTATGTATACGTGTGTTTATGTTTTTGATCATGAGTTTTTCTATTCCTTAACCAAACTGGATACAATTTAATATACCCATCAGATTATTTACAGCACGTATAGTAACGAACCTTACACATACTGATTTTTTGTTTTACGTGTTTTTTTGTTTTTTTTTAATATCTGCGATAAATCTAATTGGTAGATTAGACATAATAAGATACTAGCAGTTATAATAAAATAGAAATAATGTTAAAAAAAATAATTAGCGTAATAAAAGTTATCTCTAAGGCAGGATGTGTATGTGTGTGTCTGTGTGTGTGTGTCTGTGTGTAACGAATGCACGGCCGCAATTTTCGACGGATTTTCACCAAAATTTACATGCACATGCTCCAAGTTATTGGGAAGGCCAACACCGACCTTGCATTTCCCAACTTCCATCGATAGTGGAAATAATCGATTTTTTCCTGAGTCTACAGTAGTTTTCATGTAGTTTGCGGCCATTTTCTACTGGCCACAATGAGAGTCTATTCTCAGTCTTCTCATTCACTTTCACTCCAGGTGACCGCCTCCGTTATGGTGGCATTGTCCCCATTATTTAGGCTGAAATGATTAAAAAATAAAGGAAATAAAGAAGAAAATATTCGTTTTTACCGGAGTCCTTAGTAACCTCAGTAAACGCGTTTTTTTTATTTTTTTTTTTTTTTTTTTTTGCAAATCGACGTTTTGTTTCTACTTCCCAACCTACGATGATATCCATTCGTAAAGACGTCCTGCCACCCGGCCATATCAATTCAGCGATCTATGATTTTAATTGTCAGCGCGATGTATATATTGGTAGGTAATATCTGATCTGCACATACCAGCTAAGATCCATAGATGGCTGTATGAAAATTTACATACGCTTATCAATGCACCCGGTTCTGCAATTTCACTTAATCAATAATCTGATTTACGTCCCCTCTTTTACCAAATATTTTTCACAGTAGTCAGCAAAGCACATACTGAGACCCTGTATATTAAATCTAAACGACCCTCTCCCTCCCTCTCTCTCTCTCTCTCTCTTTCTCTCTCTCAGCAGAAGGGATGGCTGCTGGGTCTTTATATAACATGTCTGTTATTTATATTACTGATTCTCTGGTAGTATTTAATTTTTGCTATATTTTTCGATTCCTCAGTTTAAGAAGATGGAATATGTTTCTTATCTCTGTTCTTTTTGCTGCTTAGTTTTAATACATTTCTCGTATATTATGTGAATAGATATTTTAATCATTTCACTCTAAAGCAAGGAGATAAAGCCTCTAAGATGCAAAGGGTTACTGAAAACGAAAGAATATGAGAAACATCGTTATTAAGGGGAGAAAACAATAAAAGAACAGGATTCAAGGAGAAAGAATATGGCGACTAAAACATCGCATTTATAAAAAAAAAAAAAAAAAAAAAAAAGATTAAAGCTGACTGGAAAATGATGAAGCCAGAAGAGTGTTCCACAAGCGAGAAATGCGACAGAAGGAAATATTAGCATAGAACTTACGGTTGCATCTAGCCATTTCAACTGTAAAATCAGGAGAATCTCTGGTTACATTGAAATGCAATATTAATCGTTATCATCTGTATTCTTAGTTCCTGTTCTTTTATTGTCCTCACTTCTCTGTTTTTTTCCTCGTATTCTCAATCACCCTCAGTAATTTTGATGTTCAAAAATTAAAATGCAATGTCAATCGTTATCTTCTGTCTTCTTGAAGCCTATTCCGTTTTTGTCCACTCTTCTTAATAATGTTTTTAATGTATTTTTTAACGTCTTATTTTACTGTTTGGCTTTGGGGTTAAATGATATATATATATATATATATATAACCAAATGGGTAAATATAAGGGTATACGTCTTAGCCATAGTATACAAATACTTATAAATACACTATTTAAGAAAAACAGTGCTCATTTTTAAGTAACAAAAATTTAATATATATATATATATATATATATATATATATATATATATATATATATACATTAATTGCACAACTCTGGTTTCATACCGAAGCAATTTTCAAAATTCCAGCACTTCATAATTGCTTCGGCATAAAACTCGGATTTGTGTAATTAATGTAAGATATGTATATTTCTTATATATATATATATATATATATATATATATATATATATATATATTGTTGGGACTCGCTGTCATTTGTCTCTAGTTCCTTTTGCATATTTTTTTTTTTTTTTTACAATTACTTTTATTGTACGTTTATCTGTGTTAATTTTAAATCTCCCGTTGAAACCCGAAGAGCGGGAGCGAAACCGGTTGTTTCTGCCTGTTTTTATATGTCTCGTAATATTAAGTTTTATACTTTTATTTCGATCATTAAATTTTGTACCTACAAATAAATATATATATATATATATATATATATATATATATATATATATATATATATATATATATATATATATATATATATATATATATATATTAATCCGACAGCTTTTATTACTTAAACGTTATTTATTAGTCGATACCCTTATTTGAGTAGACGTTTCGTTTATTTATTAAACAGTATATTTATTTATTTTCGTCTGAATATTCAAGAAATATTATTGAAGAAAAATATGTGCCCTCCGGCAAGATTCGAACATAAATCTACATAAACCTCGCCATAAGAGGATAAAAGAATATATCTGATGATTTTGAAAGTTATTGGTGGCGTGCTCTGGGTTAATGAAACTGTTTTTTTTTTTTTAACCCATAAACCATGACTGATTCTTGAATTCTTTGTTGTATTTTTTTTTAAGAGGCCGGTCTGTTATTTTTGCATCAGTAAATAACTGGGAAATATTTTAAGAGGAGATAAAAACTGGAAGGGATCAGAAGAAAATGGCGGATGCTGGCGGGTTTCCCATTTAAGCTTCTTTAAGCTTCTGCAAAAGTTTGTTTTACATGTTTGTCGTAGTCAAAAATAACACCTTTGTCATTTGTCAAAATCGGATATTTTTCTTGAATATAAATTTCTAACAATGGCAAAAGGCAGTTTAGATATCGATTTCAAACTGTTAGCAATCTATCTATCAATATATATATATATATATATATATATATATATATATATATATATATATATATATATATATATATATATATATATATATATATATATATATATATATATATATATATATATATATATATATATATATATATATATGTACGTATATTTTATATATATATTTAAGACATTTTTATGTTTATACGTTCATTTTTATAGATACAAATATTTAAGTAAATGCTCTGTTTCTAATAAACACTATTAACAACATTTACCGGCCTGATTGTCCGCGAAATTGTCATAGAAAATATGCGTCCTCCGACAGGAATCGAACCTGTATCCTATACGGAACCGTCATATAGCCTGACGTGCCTTTAACAGAGGAGCGTTCGGTTAGCAAGGTCGATTTTACTGTTTTTAAACCACAATTCGCCATGATTTTCTCTCGTACATTCATATCTGTTCGATGCGTATCCAAATGTAAACAAATGACTTCACACATTATGAAATGGACAAAGTGCGACAGTTATTTTTAAGACATTTTTTTCATGTTTATACGTTCTTTTTTTATAGATATTTTAAAAATAATTGTCGGGCTTTGACCATTTAATAATGTGTGATGTCATTTGTTACATACTATACTAAATTTAATATAATCGTCCGTGTAATGAATACTGTTGCCCTCTCTGTCTTGGTGCTCCTGCGCTACATCTGAAAAATTCTTGACAAAATCCAGAGAAGGGTCTGCAATACAATCGATTCTGACCAGGTATCTCGTTTCCAGTCATTTTCTTGCCAATGTGAC